GTGTGTGTGTGTGTGTGCCTCTGTGTGTGTGTGTGTGTCTGTGTGTCTGTGTGTGTATGCGTGTGTGTGTGTCTGTGTCTGTGTGTGTGTGTATGCATGTGTGTGTGTGTCTGTGTGTGTGCGTGTGTGTGTGTAAGTATGAAATGATCAATCATGTTGACAGCATGCAGCCTGACCCATGAAGGTGGATCAGGTTGATATCTGCGTCATCTCCTGCAGAACCAGTAGTTTGTATCCCATACAACAGAGAAAAGGCAAGAAGCTAAATAGGAAAATTTTTTATCAAACCTCCGCATCACTTGTATTCTCAGTATCAATCCAAAGAATTTCTATTCAGTTTAGAACAAGCTGTCAGCTGTTGTACCCACCCAGCTGTATAAATAACCAACTTTAGTCACTCCAATGTCATCTGTTAATTTACTGACTGTCTTAATGATGTTGGTGAGTAAAGGACATAAAGTGGAGCTCAAACATGGACAGGACTGAGGGCAGGGAGGAGGCGCTGAGTCACACCTGTCACATTCTACTCTGTGTCAACACCATCGCTGCCCCTTTGAAGCTGCTTCTTGGAGATAAGTTGGAAAGCTGGTATTGTGCCAGGGGATCTGAAATCTCCAGCAGTCCTTCTGTGGCTGGGTACAGTACGTATGCCACTTTAACCATCTGTTCCCCAGCTGTGTACTGGCTTTGAGCCTGCCACTTTAGCCGGAAAGGAAAGATGTGTAAGTTTATGGGGAGAGAGTGGTTGGTGGGGAGATGGGAGCGACACTGTATGAACCGCTCACTTGGAGGGCCAGTACAAACTTGGTAGGATGTATAGCCTCTGCCTGTGACCTGTTATTCAATCAAGAGTCCAGTGCGTATTGGACTTTCCAGAATTCAGTGTTAGATTACCTGAGAACGAGGTATTGTTTGAAATGTAAATGCCACTCAGACACAATGGGGCAAGCTGTTCATCTCCCTGATCCCTCTGTTGGGGTTATAAGGAAAGGGTTAATTTACTTTTCTGAATGCAGCAAGTAGCGATCTCACGCTTCCACATCGATGATACAAGTGCACCCTGACTCTTGAACTACATCTCAATGAGCATCCTGCACAGCAGCTTTCAAACCAACCATCTCCCGATAAAACAAACCACTGATAATCATAGAATCCCTATAGTGTGGGAACAGGCCCTTCAGCCCAGCAAGTCCACACTGACCCAGACCCATTCCCCAATAAACCCACCCAATCTACACATCCATGAACACTATGGGCAATATGGGCAATTTAGCATGGCCAATCCACCTAGCCTGCACATCTTTGGACTGGGGGAAGGAAACCAGAGCACCCAGAGGAAACCTACACAGAGACAGGGAGAATGTGCCTGAGGGTGGAACTGAAACCGGGTTTCTGGTGCTGTGAGGCAGCGGTGCTAACCACTGAGCCACCATGCCACCCCTGAGTGTGAGGTATCAGTGCAAATAGGAGCAAGAGGGAATAATATCCCTGTGGACATGAGAAACAAAGAGAAGAAAACATAGAAAATAAAATGAAAAGCTGCAGTTGCTAGAAATCTGAAACAAAAACTGAAAACGCTGGAAAAACTCAGTAACTCTGGCCCTTAGCCTCCGATGCTCCAGGGAAAATAGCCCCAGCCTGTTCAGCCTCTCCCTATAGCTCAAACCCTCCAACCCCAGCAACATCCTTGTAAATCTTTTCTGAATCCTTTCAAGTTTCACAACATCCTTCCTAAAGCAGGGAAACCAGAATTGAAAGCACAGGGGCTCAGTGGTTAGCACTGCTGCCTCACAGTGCCAGGGAACTGGGTTCAATTCCAGCCTCAGGTGACTGTCTGTATGGAGTTTGCACATTCTCCCACTGTCTGCGTGGGTTTCCTTCGGGTGCTCTGGTTTCCTCCCACAGTCCAAAGATGTGCAGGCTAGGTGGATTGGCCGTGCTAAATTGTCCATGGTGCCTGGGGATGTTTAGGTTGGGTGGGTTAGACGTGGAAAATGCAGGGTGAGGGGAATGGGTCTGGGTGGGATACTCTTCGGAGGGATGGTATGGACTTGTTGGGCTGAATGGCTTGTTTCCACACTGTAAGGATTCTATGATACTTTGACAAAAACACATATTCATTTCATATAAAACTTTGTGCAACCATTTGGCTCAGTAATGCTGGAGAAAGAGATGTTTTGTTGAAACTTTGCATCTTGCCCTCACCAGAGCAGAATCAAAAATGCCACATTTCAAAGTGCACAGTGAGATTTCCCATTTCAGTGTAAATTGTTATCCCCTTGAAGACTTGCTTTTCTTGCATTTGTCTGGATGAGCGTAAGATGAATTACATGTGTCTTTTCAATTCAGCAACTCTTAAGAGATAAGCGAAAGACAAAGAGAAAAAAGAGTGAGAAGACAATGAGAAACAACGAGACAGAGTGGGAGACAGAGAGAGAGAAAGGACCGAAACAGCCGCAGAATGACCAGCCAAGGTCAGCGGCACTAGGGAAAAATTAGAGAAGAAGCGAAGGAGCATATTTAAAAGAGAATAAAACCAGTACCCAAAGGGTTAGAGAGAGAGAGAATGGGGAAAAGTGACAGACTGACTTAAGTAGAAAGATAGAGTGAGAACGAGAAAGGTACATGGAGAGAAGAGGTAAGAACTGGACACGGGAGGGAGAGATAGAAAGAAGGAGGGAGAGGAAGGAGGGTGGGCTGGGCAGATTCCGCCAGTTTTGTTCCTCTCAAACCTGAGGAAGGCGGAGCCGCTGGAGAGTTAGATTTCTCAGCAGCGTGTAGCCCAGAGATAGAAGGTGAGTGAGGAGATACAGAGAGGGAGAGGGAGAGAGAGAAGGTTTAACCCAGGGAACAGCACAGAGAGATTGCCACAATCTCAAACAGACTGAGTGAGATAGCAGTGAGGAGTTGGGGAGAGTTCTGCTTAAACCTGCCGCTGCCTCAGGACAGAGTGTTCTCACATGGTGCTGGTCCCGCTGACAAATCCGGGAATAAAACTTTGTCTCGGAATCTAGTTGCTGCTGTCTCAGGGGAACAGACCCAGAGCTTTAACAGCAGCAGGAGGAGATTGTGATCGAAGCCTGGGCTCAGGTACACTCGGGGACCCAGAAGCTGGTCTTTTCACTGGGAATAAATGTAAATCTGTCTCAGTGTGTGACAACAGGCTCCCAGCTGCAACAGGGTACTGCTGCCTGAGATTCCTGCTCTGATACCCCCATCCTATCCCCACAGCCTGGTCTGCCTGCCTTCCCCAGGCCGGGGACAGAGACAGCACATCGCCGGGAGGGAGAATGTTCATCCTGCAGGCCAGGTAATGTGTGTCTGTCTGTTTGTGTCTGTGTGTGTGTACCTGTATCTGCCTGTCTGTGTGTGTACCTGTATCTATCTGTCTGTGTGTGTGTACCTGTATCTATCTGTCTGTGTGTGTACCTGTATCTATCTGTCTGTGTGTACCTGTATCTGTCTGTCTGTCTGTGTGTACCTGTATCTGTCTGTCTGTGTGTACCTGTA